TCCCACCAAATGCCAGGCCTTGTGCTGGATCTCTGGATAAAGGTGGGCTTCCCTTTACTACAACCCTGGCTCTACATTCCCTCTGCTCTGCCAGCTGAGGTCCTGCTGTACTCACTCAGAGGTGACAAAGGCATGCTCCTTGATAGTGACCAAGACGTCGGAGAACTTGATCTTGGTGGTTAAGGTGTGTCCGTGGTAGATGACGGGCATGCCATCGGGACCGTCCCAGCAATCCACTGAAAGAGACCCACGGGGGAAACTCAGCCCAAAGGCTGCAATACAGACATGAGATGGACTGAACTAAGCACTGCTGGGAAATGCATTAGGTGGCAATAGAGGAGGTGAAAGGCCAGATCCTCCCCAGGGACCAGAAGCTCAGGCACACCCCACAAAGCAAATGACCTCAGCCCTTTCTGCACATCACGGAGATAATGTTGCCAGTGGCACGTCAACCAGCAGCTCTGCCTTCCGTGCAAAGCCTTTCCCGACCACCACAAGCTGTCCCAAGGCTGGAGGCAGGAGGAGGGGCAGCACTCACGCTCGATGCAGCGGCAGCCCATGCGCAGGCAGCGCGCGTACGCCTCCAGCGAGGACTCGCTCGAGAACTGATCCCCCGTCAGGTACCTGCCAGGGGACACAAACACATCAGCACAGCCACACCACTGGGCCATCCTGGACCTGCCTCTGCCCTGCAGGGAAGGGCAGAGCAGCGTTCCCACAGCTGCCACCTCCCCAGGGCAGGGGCTCAGCTCTGTCCCACCGGCAAGGGCTGCCAGCACTGCTCTGAGCCCAGCCCTACTGCTGTCACCTGAGATAAACACCATAGAGAGGTATCAGCATTGGTGCCACAAAGAGCCCAAGAGCAGGGTTAGACCAGCTCTTGCAGGCAGACAGGAGCTCACTGCCTGCTCTCAGGGCTGCTCAGCTGCCTTAGGCTCTTGGTCCTTTACGTGTGGGCTAAGGGGCTGCCACTGCACCCCATGAACAGGGAGCACACACAGAGCCTGTCTGCACAGAAAGCAATTCCTGCAAAATTCTTCCAGCAGCAGAGAAGGAAAATGGCCAAATTCAGCCCGACAGGTTTTACCACATCTGTCCTGAGAGGCTAGGGAAGATGCCATTGCTAATGGTGAGGAATTACCAGAGTGACAGCTCAGGATGTGAAGGCACCCGAAGGTCTGTGCAGATGTGTGCTGTGGACAATGTCTGAGCAAAACATTTATGGTTAAACAACACAGGGAAAACTGAGGCACCAAGAGGAAAGTCTCTAATGTACTGACCACTGTTTGGAAGTCTACTTGACCCATTGCTGGGATCAGGCAAAATCAGGAGAATCTCCCCCTGGCACGGGAAAAGGCTGCTGGGAGCAGCTGGGTGGAGAGAGCCCTCCCCTAGTCCTTACGTGTTGTGTGAGGAGGAGATCCAGTAATGGGAGAGGGGGTTGTTCATGTTCTCCAGACACACCATGTCCAGTTGTGAGTTCCAGATGCTGTTCTCTTTGGAAAACAGGAAGGTGAGAAACTGCTCAGGAAGAAACAGAAGGGTGTTAATGATGTGGAGGGGCCGGTGCTGTGGTTCAGCTTCACACACATCTCCCACCCTGTGCCAGAGGCACAGACTGACCAGGGGCCACCCACACAGCACCCAGGCTACCTGAGCCAGAGTAACCACAGCCTGGGCATGGCCACCTGCCCTCTGAGCTGTGCCAGACATCTGTGTGCCAAATCCTTTGACCCAACTGCAGACGAATGAGTTGCTCTGCGTTTATTTCTTACAGCTCACATGGCTGGCAGTAGCTCACTAAGGCCATGTGGGTCAAGGGACCTTGGCTTGGTCCAGAGTGCCAGTGATATTTTCATCTCTAGTTGTTTTTATTATTTTGTTTTCAGCTCTTCTTGCTTTGAAAAAATCCTGACATGCTCCAAAGCAGCATTAAGCCAAATGCAGCCCCTCTCCTCCCCCAGATGAACTGCCTGATGAGCACTCCCAGCTGCACACACTTAGCACAAGAAGAGAGCCCAGAAGTCACTCTCTTTGTCAACCAGCTCTTGTGTAACACAGTGACCCACCACGTCCATCTCACAGGGCCAGGCAGCTCACAGGAGCTGTGATCCTTCCAGCACCACCACTCACAGCACAGACAGCAGAGCTGTCACACCACAGCACACTCTGCACCAGGGATGTCACCCCCTGTGTCACCCCACTCCACACACACCACGTTCAAGGTGTCTTACTTCGTCCAGGGTGAAATAAGGCTCATCAATCTCCCTCAAAGGGTCTCTCAGAAAGTTGAACATGAATTCTTGTACCTGAAGGGTATCTGCAGCCCAGAGCTCCTGCAAACCCCGGGAGAGACATAAAAGAAGCCATTTCAGAAAGTACTATTCAAAACCACGTGCAGCTCATCCAGCAAGAAGCTTTAACCATTCAGGAGGGGGTTTTTGATGCAAGACCATCTCTGCCAGGAACTCAACTGTCAGCACAAATGCTGGAGAGCACAGAGTGAGCAAATCTGCCCTACTTCTGTGGGATTCATTTTCTCAGTGCTGTGCATTTTCCTCTCCGACAGCTCCTTCACACACATCTGCCCTCCCTCCTCCCTCGGCAGCAGAAGCCAACCCGGCTTCCTTTGGCTCCCTCTCCCTGCGTTTCTTTCATCAGCCATGGAAACAGCACATCTCCCCCTGGGTAACTCCCTGCTGGCTGCAGAGAGGCAGCGGTGGGGCTCAGAGCAGGAGGCCTCACACTCCCCCATCTGCCCTCCTGGAGGAGACCAGCAGTGAGGTGGGAGCCCAGCAAGAGCCAAGGGGTCTGTGCAGCCCACAAACACACTGCCTGTGTGTCTGTGCACGCTGTGCTGGCTGAACAACCCACAGTCACTTTGAAATGGAAAGGTCAGTGACTGAATCCATCAGCTGCTCCTCAGGAGCTGCTGACAACTTCTGAGCAGACAGGATGGACAGGACTTTTTGGCTGCTCCAAACCTTCAGTAACCAGCTGAGCTCACAGGGACTGGGTAAATCTCCAGTGACCAGTTCCTTCCTCCCGGGACCTCTGCTCCTCCCAGAGCTCTTAGTTCCTTTTCTGACCAGGGTGCCTGGCTGAGGACAGGTTTGCCCTCCCCAGTGCTCCCCCTGCAACACCTCCTGCTCCAGGAAGGACGTGCTCAGGTTGAGGCCATGCCAGGCAGAGCACCCCAGAACCAAATCACCCCAGCTCCACAGAGGTTACCCATGGAACACCAGATCCACACTGATACTGGTGCCCACCCCACAGTCCCTCCCCACGGCCTTTGTTGAGCTCACCCTCTGGTACTCCAGCAAGAACTTCTGCAGCTCCAGCAGTGACACCCTGAAGTGCTCAGACCTTTCTCCACCCCTGACAAGCAAAGAGAGAGAAGCTTCAGTCACTCACACAGCACACCACGTGAGACGCCATCTGCCACCTCCACGGCACGTGCAGCCAGATGTGCCCCGAGCAAGCAGGCTGCAGGAGCAGAGCAGGATGGGCAGAGAGTCAAGGAGACCATGACAGCAAACATGGAGCAACTGAGATCATATATCCATATCTCAGAGCCAGGGACTGCTCCAGGAACAGTCCAGGATTCACACTGCCAAGGGCACAACAACATGAAACTCTGGCAAAGGGCAGAAAAATCATCAGAGGTATAAAAAAAAAAATAAAAATTGAGGGTCTGTACACAAGTGAAAAGAACTGAATAAGTGCAGGGAAGTCTAGGGGTGATTGCAGACAGGACAGACATGGAAGCACGGACTCAGGGAGGCAAGGCACAGGGAATTAAGGAGGAATGGTTTGTAGCTGATTATCTCAAAAGACTGGTCCATGACTGCACCAAGCCACAATGGACAGCCACGGGCCATGCTGGGCACTAACATCACAAAACCCCAAAGTGGACTGGGCAGTGCTGGCTGCCCTGGGCAAAGGGGTGAGCCAGATGGTCTGCTGAGGGTCCTGCCAACTCTTTTCTATGGTTGTAGGAAAAAAAGGAAGGAAACCATTGAGAATTACCTGAACAAGTTAATAAGTCTGTCACTCTTTAACTCCTGGGTCTAAATTCAAACTCTTTTTATCACGGCTGAAGTGTGCAGAGGGCACAGCTGGTGATGGCACCAGAGGCACTGCCTGGGGAGCCAGGGCTCTGCAGCCACCACGAGGACAACCCCTGGGAGATGGCTCCAGATCTGATCACTTCACATCAACCACCTGACCTGAGCTGGATCTCAGGGGGATGTCTGGGAGGAAGAGCCCTCACTGCCCCGAGCTGAAGTGTCTACAGCAAAGATGCTTGTTCAGAGCACAAACCCACAGGCAGCGTGGTGGCAGGAGGAGTGCAGCATGTCTCATCCCAACACGCTGCTGCAGGCACCAAAGCATGATATGGAGAAAAAAACCCAGCCCCTTCCCCAACAAATACAAAGAATTATCCACCTTTCCAGGAATGGGACATCCATCTGCAAAAGAAAGAGCACAAACATTAGGTTTGCACTCAGTAACTTCTTTACTCCCCAGACACAAGAGCTCACCCCAACAGCAGCAGGGTTAAAAAGACAATTAAGAGGGAATGCCCAGTAACAAATAAGGTCTTTCCTTCCCCTTTCCACCCTTGGGGAATTCAGCTCTCACCGTTTTCTGGGCACTGAACATCAGGCTGCGGTAGAGCTGTGCAAACTGCCCATATGTGATGTCTCCATTCCTCTGCTCCACATCCTGAGGCAAAAAAAAAACACAACAGTTTTTACAAGAGCCACAGGCAACTCTGCATGGCCTGAGGAGTGTCTCATTCCACCAGAATTCATGCAGAAAAAAGGAGGAGGAAAAGGCCAAAACCTGTCCAGACTTTGCCTCCCGCACAATGGCCTCAAGTTGTGCCAGGTTTAGACTGGATATTATGAAAAATTTATGGAAATAGTGGTCAGGCATTGGAACAGGCTGCCCAGGGCAATGGTGGAGTCACCATCTCTTGAAGGGTTCAACAAGCATCTGGATGCAGCACTTGTGGACATGGTTTAGTGGTGGACGTGGCAGTGCTGGATAATGGCTGGACTCAATATTAGAGGTCTTTTTCAACCTTAACAATTCTGATTCCATGACCTCTGCTGGGGCCAGCAGGACACTGCAGTGCCCAGGACACAGGCACATCCCCAAGTGCCACAGTTCCCCAAGCTCAGCCATACAAAGGCATCACCATGCTGAGAAAAGCATCACCACTTACTTGAATGGTTTCCAAAGGATAATTTAACCTTCTGTTTGCCAAGAGCACCTGAAGTGTCTGAAAACTGCATGACCCAGAGCGTGTGCTCTCCTTTGGATACACCACTCTGGCCTCAGAGTTCCATGCTGGTGGGAAGAGCTGGTCATGGTGAGATGACCATCCACCCCTGGGCCTGCAGTGATGCTGGCAGAGCATCACTCCCTGGCAGTGGGTTGCAAGACCCAGGATGCAGGACCCAGTAGCTGGTCTCCTGTGCTTTACCCCACCAGCACCAAGCCCACAACCAGAGCCAGGAGCAATGTGGGGAGTGTGGGAGGCAGGGTGGGGTAAAGAGAGGGTGCTGGCCACAAATGGGCCAGGGTGCGGCACCCAGTGAGAGCTGGCACCTCTTCAGTCACCACCGTGGGTGGGGGCCCTCCCAGGAAAGGCTGGGAGGCTCTGCAATATGCAAACATGCCCTGGGAGTTTAACCACCACCAGGGTTTGCACAAAGGTGGGTAACAGGCTGCTGGGGGTCCCCAGAGCTGAGGGGTCACACACTCACCGTGAGTCTCTCCCGCAGGAACCTCATGTTGGGCACCCGATAGTTGACCTGAGACAGCATGTTCTTCAGATCCTTGGCAGAGATCCTGGCTCAGCAGGGAAAAGAGGAGAAACGTGTTCAGGAGGTCAGGGATGGAGGGGTCTCATCCTGGAGCTGGGACACCACACAAACAGAGCAGCCATGCCCAAAGGGGCACTGGCTGTGATGCACAAGAATGGATGTGTGACTCCAGAAGGATGCCGAGGTTGGGACCAAAGGCAGAACAGTGGGGAGCACACAGGGAAGCAGAGAGAGATGTCTGCATGACAGTGGAAACAGCAAATACCACTCCTACAAGCTCCTGACCCTGCACGGTGAGTCCCAGCGCCCTCAGCCCACTCGAGCCACGGTGACACACAGCAGCACTGCTTTAGGAGAACAACCAGGAAGAAGCATTTCTCAAGTATCTGCCCCCAACGTGGATGCTGAGTGACCAATTCCCTTCCAAAACCCAACCCCTGGCCTGCTGGAGGAGGGCAGGCTCTGTAAGTGGTTTGGATTCAGCTAATTTTATCCTAAGAGGAAAAGAGCCATTTCCAGTGCACAGCCACAGGCACAGCACTGCCACGTCGTGCCCAGCTGTGTTCTCCCAGCCACACATGCTGCTGGCACAGAGCAGCCAGCGTGGCTGTCCTCCCCCTGAGGCCCTTCACACCAAATGTGCCGGTTCCTGGACCAGGGAGAGCTCCAGTGCCAGCCCTGAGCGGGATCCTGCACCCAGGCAGGCAGAGACAGGCAGCAAACAGCCCTAGGCTGCCCCTGCCTGCTCTGGAGCTGTTCTCCAGATGGGGCAATGGCCCTGCAGCGAGAAAAAATGTAGATGCCTTCCATCTGCAGGATTTAAGAAGCTGAGAGGTCTGTGTGCAATCATTTTCTGGCAACCTCTGCCTTAAAAGTAAGTCCTGGGAGTCCACCCCTGCAATTGCAGATGCTGCTTTTGCCCCCCACGGAGCATGTGGGAGCCCAGGATTCTAAAGGATGCTCCCCCATCCTGCAAAACATAGGGCAGGTCTGACCCTGGAAATCCTTATGGTTTGGGCTTCCCTGGCTGTACCAGAGGAGATGTCCTTCACCCTGTGAACCACATCTTTCACACTCTTCCCAGGAAATGGGGTGATCTCCAATGCCACAGGAAGGAGGAGGGATGGAGGGAGCCCCACGGAGAGGGAGAAACCGGCTGGTGTCAGGCGCTGCAGAGCCGAGGGCCCGGCAGCCAGCAGGACACAGAGAGCCCTTGTTCCTGGGCTCTGAGCTGGGGACCAGGACACACACACGGCCAGGGCAGGACCTGGCCCGGCTCCCGTGCGTGCCCACGGCCAGCACCCGGCCAGCCGAGGAGTGGGCAGTGACCTGCCACTCACCTGCCACTCACTGGCAGGACAGGGAAAGAAAGAGAAAAAAAAAGAAGCTGGCACATGGCCCCAGCCTCTCCTTCTGACCCAGCTGTACAGGCTGCACAGCCAGTGACACACACCCAGCATGGGCAGCAGCTCTGCTCTCTCCCCTGCACCTCCCCCTGCCCCAGCAGGTGAAGTTACCCCGGGGGCTCAGGGGGAGTGTCCTGGGGAGGGGAGTCTGCCCTTGCCCCCTCCAGCACACCCAGCATCCATGGCCATGTGCAGGGTGCTGTGTGATCCCAAGGGCAGGGGGTCCCAGCTGTGGGGTCCCAGGTGACAGGGAACTGAGCCAGGGGTGCAGTGAGAGATGCCCTCTCCAGTCAAGGACCCCAGCATGTAACAGCTGCCATGGGACCCCTGACAGGACACCCAGAGTCCCCACGGCCATCCAACAGCAATCCCTCCTCGGTGAGAGCCTGGCACTGCAAAAAAGCTCATGGAAAAAGAGCAGGAGGGGCTGGACCAGCAGGACCAGCAGTAGGAATCGGGCTGGAGACCCGCTGGAGCCAGCACGCAGGCTCTGGTGATGCTGAGCTGCCTCACAGCATATGCTGGACCAAGGCACTGCTCGTTGATGTGACAAGAGCAAGCCCTGTCAAAGCTGTGACCAACATTTTCCTCTCAGCTTCGGAAGGAGGACAGGGTACGGAAGGATTTTATTTACCGTGTGTTATTAATCATGTTAAAGTGCTGGACACCTTGGATAAACAGCTCAGTAGTATTTTCAGACTAGAAAGTAAAAACCAAATAAACAAACTAATTTTTTCTACGGAAGTTTTCTAAGGTTTCATGACAAACAGGCCAAAGGACCGATTCAGTCCTCTCACAGGGGATGGAAACATTCCCCTGCCAGCCCCCAGTGCTGTAACACTGCTCCCAGCCATGGGCAGCTCTCCTGGCCAGAGGTGAAACAGCCTCTTTGGCAGCAGTTAGGAAAAAAAACCCAGCATCCTGTTATCCTCCTCTTTCCACCTAACCTCCCTTGGAAAAACAAATACCCAAAGGCCCAGCAGCCAGTGAAAACAGCCAACATCTGCCGGCGTGCTGGAAGGGATGTCCCGGCACCAGCCGGGGAGGGCGGAAAGGAGAGGGAAAGGAGAGGGAAAGGCTCCGGCACAGGAGGCTGGGGCACGGGGCACACGAGGAATGATTTCTTCAGCTGCCAAAAATCTGCCTGTTCTGGAAAGGATCAAGGATGGTTTGCAAAAGAAGTGGTTTTTTGTAAATAAAAACAAACAAACAAACAAACAAAAAAAACCAACAAAAAAATCTCCCCCCACATCTCAGTGTTCCCTTTGAAAACCCACTTCCAGGCTGAGAAGCAAAAGCAAAATGCTCAGCAACACTAAATTTAATGCTGAAATGCCTCATAAGGGCAAAGATTTAATCCAAGAGACGTGTATGTTCCATAACTGCTGCCTTTACCTTGCAGAAAACACATGGATGCTTGTAGAATGTTTGTAATATGGGAAGACCTCAAATCTTTTTGCATTCCCCCTGTTTTGCTCCTCTTGCTACCTGGGCTGGAGCAGCAGCTCTCCTAATTAACCATTTTGCACTGAAAGCTCTCCCCATGGTTGACAGGTAAGGAATATATTGGATTTTGCTGCCTTAATTCTAAATTCCAATAGAAAGATGATATTCTGAAAAACAAGAGAGATGCAACAGGCTGGCTGTCAGCTCTGCCTCGGGCAGACGGATCTGGACACGCAATCTCTGTTTGTCCTGTTGGGATGCCATTTCATCAGTTTTACTGCATAAACAGAGGAGAAGGAGGTCTGAGTACTTCCATTTTTCCTGTTCTCATCCTCCAAATCCCCCATGCAGACACCCCTGCCCCAGTGCTCTCCATAGCTGGATTAGGAAATACCGTGCCCTGTCACCACTGAAATACAGTGCACTGCATATACAACCCCAGCCTGGACTGGAAAGGTGTGTGGCATATGCAGAGCAGCTGCAACAGATTAAAGCTCCTCTCCTTCCCTTTCTGCCTCTGCAAGGATTTATCCCTCCTCCGCTAAATCCCTGTGCACCCAGCGGTGCTCTCGTCACGCCACAGGATAAATCACTGCAAAGGCAAAAATGTCCAGTGCAGTGGGATTTTCCCCAGGCAACACACTCCTGCTCTGCTCCTGGACAGGCTGGATTTAACCCCTGGCAGCCTGGCAGCAGGGCTGTCTGGCTGTCCTGGAAGGGACACAGCAAGGACAAAGCAGAGGATGCTCCAGAGCCCAGGGATCTGCCCGATGATGCCCAGGGCATGGAAAGAGGGCAGGTGGGACCCACGTGCTCCACCACAGCCCGGGGCAGGAGCTATGTGTGAGTGATGTCTCCAGCACTGCCCTCTCTGGAGCAGGACTGGAGGAATCTCCCTGCCCCAGGGGAGCACATTAACATGGAAATCAATGCTGAAAGGTTAATGTGCTCAGTAAACATCACAGGGGAAAAGCCTGTCCCAGGGATGAAAGGAGGCAAATAACAGCACCTCGGGAAGAGGAGGCTGGCAGCCAGCATGTGGACAGGAAAACTAGCATGGAACTCACCTCCCTGACAGGGAAATGTCCCTTCCCTTATCTCCTCGCGATGAATCATGACCCAATTCTCCTCCCTTATCTCCTCATGGCAGGTTCAAGCATGACATTTTACCTGCTAGGACATCACTAAGCATTCACCCAAGAACCCCCCAAGCAGTGGCCCTGCTGCAGCCCACCAGCCTCATGGACCTCAGAGAAGGAGAATAAAACAAACAGGTTGTAGGGTAATAAGCCCAACCCAGTTCAATCCTCATGGGGTGCCCCAAACTGCCTCTTGATGTCTGCTTCCTTGGGAAGCTGGGGGGAAGGCATTTCACAGCTCTGGGCTCTCAAGGTGTTACTGAGTCTAAACAGCTGGGAAATAGGTCAGGGAAACAAGACAGCTCTTTTATGCTTTTTTAATTCAGTGAAGGTCAGCCGGGGAAGTAATGGGACTTGGATTAAGGTTCCTTGGATATGAATATTAAAAGCCTAAAGAACCCAACAAAAAATCCAACCAAAGGCTGGGGTTTTAAGTCAAAGTCAAACTCTTCCAGCTTAAACCCTTCCACGAAGGTGATTACAAGTTCCTCTCTCCTTACCTGTCTTCCCGGTTGCGATCCAGCGAGTAGAACTGCTTCCGGAGCCACCTGAGCAGGAAGGCACAAACAGGCACACACTTAGCCACAGCTCCCCAACAACCAGCCTGGGTGGTTTGCTGCTGTCTCTGGAAGGTGCTCAACGCCACACCATCCATTCCCACAGCCCTCCATCCCACCAGAGAACCTGGCTCCACTCCCTTCCAGAGGCAGCCAACCCTGTTTCCGTGTGGGCAACCTGCCCCCCTTTAAAAATGTCTCTGCCTGAAAGTGAGCCCACGGATAAGACAGAAACCAAAGGGGTTCTGTTCCACGTGCCTCTGCACTGAACTGCTACAGATAATACAGGCTGCTCACACCAAACATCAGTTTCATGGTAAAGCTCCTTTTCCCTGACAAACGTGAGATCAAACTCTGGGATCAACAGGATGAAGCCTCTCGAGTGCAGAGGCAGAAGTGTCAGGTCAGCGCGGCTCAGAGAGGGAATGAGATGTCACTGTGCTCACCTTTCTCTGTCAAAACAGACAGAAAAGGGAAAAAAGAAAACAAGAGCAGGACAAGGACAAGCTTTCCTCACCTTTCAATCTGCAGGGGGGTGGGTGCCCTCAGAGTGTCTGCCACCAGCCAGTTCAGCCCCTTGATCCACATATTGACCTCATCCTCAGAAGTAGCTGTGGAAAGTGCAAAGGAGAAGTGGGAGGAAGGGACACAGAGGCTGATCACCAACACAGACCTCTTGGGAATATCCTCAGCACCTTATATTCCCTATTCCTTCCTTTATCCCCTTTCTGATAACATTTCCCTGCCATGCAGATGCTCTGGCCAGCTCCAATGCCTGCCAAGCTCCTGCTCCCCTCCCATGGGATGTACATGGCTGGCTGGACCTCTTGCCCCTGCACATCACGCTCCATCCTCCTTCAGTTCCCAAGGATGGGTTATCTCTGTCCCCAGGCACTGAAGCTGTTGGGTCTGGTGGTGCTGAGGCGCCCGACCAACCCTGTCCTGGCACAACCCCGGGGCCACAAGTGATTTACCTTGGAGGCTGAGGGTCTTCAGCCGGAATTCTGTGCCATAGAGGACCACGAAGCAGTGAGACTGGTCTGGTCGGAAACACGGATCCTCCTGGTACCGGTCAAAATCACGCGAGTTTTTTCCTGGACGAATCTCTTTGATTTCACGAATATCCACTGTGAGAAAGGGAAAACGAAAGAGGAGTTCAGCAAACAGCTTGAAATTCCCATGAAAGATAAAAGTGGTCTTCAGGAGCCAAAGCTCGCTCCTCAACCTTCCAAAGCAGCACGGAGATCTTCCCACTCACCTTGCACATCTCCCTTGCTGCTCATGGGTAAGCACAGCCCCTTCCTACCGCTTCCCAAGGAAGTTTCCCCAGCCACCACCCCCCTATTTACCTCTGTGTTCCCCAAAAATGGCTACATGTCTCCCTCACGGGGATCCCCAGCAAGGGGCAGCTGTTAATGCCTCGAGTGCAAACGCCAAGCAAGGAGAAGGAGCTGAAGAGACACTGGTAAGGGAGCATTTCACAGCCTCCCTCCCCAGAGGAAATTCTGGGAAAGGACTCACATTGCCAGAGAACAAAGAGAAAACAACAGCAGCAAGGAGGCAAAAAAAACAAAACCAAAAAAAACCCCAAACCCAATCCAAACCCAAAAACCTTTGCTTCCTGGAAAAATAGTTTCTTAAATGCTCGTGGGAATCAAATAACAACATTTCTGAGTCACGTTTCCAAAGCAGATGATGCTTCTGAGCAATGTGAGACGGAGATTACTGCAAACCTGGCATGTAATTCATCCCAATTAAACTCCACTTACTGCACTCACTGTGGATCGACTCGCCTTTCATTTCAATTTCCTGCAGTTTAAAACTAGGCAGAAATGTGACCAGCTCATCACCCGCAGCAGCCACGACAGCACTAAACTGCATCATGAGAGATGATGCTCTCTCCAAACCCCACAGCAAGGCAGACACAGGGATTGACTCTGGGAGGACTTATAAGGCACGAGGAACATGGGATCCTCTCTTGGCAGGAGTGCACAGCAGTGTGGGTGTGCACCTGGAGATGATGGCAGCCTGCTCATTGCCTGACACAGGACATATCTAGACTGAACACTGATAGATTTTGGGGGTGTCCTGTGCAGACCCAGGAGCTGAACTTGATCCTTGTGGGTCCCTTCCAACTCAGGATATTCTGTGAATCTAACAACCCTCCAAAGCTCGCCAGCTCATGACAAGAGCAGTTCCTTGGGGCTGCAAATGGAGGACAGACAAGCTTCCTAAAATAAGCAAGGGTGGAACCTTTTAAGGAATCACCTACCCTTTGGAGAGGAGCAGGCTGAAAGCTCAAACATTAGCATGCCCTGCCATAACCTGCCTCTGTTCACGTCCTTATGCTCCCAGCAGGTTATTTCAGCCCTTAAAATCTCCTATTGCTGTCCAGGTCTTTGTATCCAGGACATGCACAGTGGGACTGAAGGCTAATCCTATCTTTAGAGGATACAGGGCTTGACCAATGCAATGGGAAGGAACTGGCAGATGGGTTTTCATGGTAGTTTACCAGGGAATAACTCAAATGGAGGAAGGTGCCATGCTCTGTGCTCACCTCAGTGCACGGAGCACCGGCGGGTTAGTAAGTAAGACAAAGCTGTTATTACAAAGTGCATACCTAAAATCCACCCAATGGAGAGAGCCCTGGAGCAAGTGAGGTGCTTATCAAGGACAGAAGCACGCAGGGAATTCCTGGGGCGAAGGGCAGCCTCTGCAGGGATCATGCACTCGGAGGGAGCGGGGCAGAAACCTGCAGCCCACGCACGCCTGCAGCTGCTTGTTCATCTCTCTCGTCCTACCAGACATGCCTGTGTGTGCTGGGGGAAGGTGGTTCAGGTTTGGTTTGTGCAGCCCTCTTCTCACCACAGAGCAGCACTGACTCAAACACCTTCCCGGCCCCCTGGCAGTGTGGAAGGAAGTGACTCTGAGCAGGAAGCACAGCAAGCACAAATGCCACCATCCCCAACAAGCACGTGCTGAAATGTTGCTTCCCTGCACTGGTCCCAGCCTCCATCCTGCTGCAGGTCCTCCGGGAGCCCCTGTGCAGAGGGGAAGGAGGGCTGGAGGCACTCGCTGTAGCCCAGGTCTCAGAGGTGCACCCTCAGCACCACGAGCTCCCCAGTGAGGGGTGGGTGGGCTCTGTGACATGGCCCACGTGTCCCACCATGGCTCTGCACCCCGGGTCCTTGCTGGGAAGGATGTGGTCAAAGACATGGGGATGAGCATCAGATGGGGCTCCAGCCCCACAGGCCACACAATGCCTGGGAAGGGGAACAAGGGCAGGTAATCTGGGATGATCCACCCGAAGACAAGTCCCTTGTCACCAAGGTGAGCAACATCTCCTCCTCCCCAAGCTGCTCTCTCCCAGAGCATGCTGTGTGAGACAGAAGATACTAACATGTCTTCATCCCATGCAGGACATGGCAAGAGAGGAAGAACTTGGTCCCACAGCAATGGCAGTGGCAGAGGGAAGCTCTCTTAGGGAATATGAACCTGCTGCAGCCTGGCAGGGCTGGATGTCCCAGAGTAGGAACCAGCAGCAAGCAGGGACAGAGGAGCAGCTGATGAGATGGGAGGGCTGAAGTGAGCTGGCTGTCCTCCAGCCCTCCCAGGCTGGAGGCAGGAGCAGCTCCAGGAAGGCAGAGAAACCCACGAGATGGCCTGAGCTCCCCACACGGTTCCACGCTGCACACTGAGCTGTGCTGTGGCTCTACAACCAGGCTCTGTACAACAGCCTCCCAAACGTCCCCCCAGCCCACTGCCAGCAGAAACAGCCTGGCCCTCCCCTTGCCTCCAGCACTAAAAAAAAAAAACCTGGGACATAGTCACATTTCTGGGCAAAGAGCCTTCCTTTTAGTGGGAGAGGGTTGCATCAGAAAGAAAAAGCTGACCCCAGATCCACCTCCCTCGCCATGTAAGAAAAAAACCCCACCAAATTACCCTCTGGTTACATGAAAACCAGATCCACCCTTTAAGTCATTTAAAACTGAAACTTCATCCAAGCCTCATTTACCCGCTGATGGATAGGGTGTTGTAACATGTAAGGATAAGGACACCCTGGAACAGGCTCTGAGGGTTGCAAAATCACCACCTCCAGAGGATTTTTGGAAAGATGTAAAACTGATTAAATAAAAACATTTTTAAAAAAAGCTGTCAAAAAGGAAACTTAGCCAGATTACCTTCCAGGAGGGGTTTATTGCGGACAGCCTCCAAGCAAACACCCACCCCCTCAACAGGTATTGCTGGGTGTATGTGACAGCCACATGGCCACTGCCAGCCCAGCCTGACCTCAGCTGGCTGACATGGTCTGATCCTGCCCCAGGGCAGCGGAAAAGCCTCCAGCCTACTCATTCTGGCAAAGAAAAAGAGGTTAAAAAAAGAGTCTTCCTGCTATTTAACATTGTGGATCCCACTGAGCACAACCAGGGCTTCCCATCACTGGAAGGGGCACTGGGAGGTCAGGCCCCCGGGGAGAAAGAGGAAAAAGACATATATGTGCATGTGAGTAAAAAATAAGAAAAACCTATTATGCAATAGCATGAAGAATAAAGTAGCACCTTATCCCTCTTAATATTGCAGTGGAAGTCCCCCCGAAACGCATATTCGGGCAGCAGTGGGTATTAGGAGCTGCGGGAGCCTGGAGCAGGATCCCAGTCCCCCTTCTCCAGGCAGCCCTGCCCGCTGTGCTCGGCTCCCACCCGGCTCTGCAACCCAACACCGCTCGGCAAGAACAGCCCGACCAGAACTCCCCGGTGAGGGGGAGCGAGCACTAAGTGCTTCTCTGGACGGGGGCCAGAGCCCTCAGCACCTCCCAGCCTGGAGCCCTCGCCTGCCCTTCGCTGCTCATCGAGCCCCTTCCACCTGCCCCACGCTGCGGGCGAGCCCCGTGTTCGCTCCCGCACAGCCCCATCCCCGCACAGCCCATCCCCGCACAGCCCCATCCCCGCACAGCCCCATCCCCGCACAGCCCCAGCCCCGCACAGCCCCAGCCCCGCACAGCCCCAGCCCCGCACAGACCAGCCCTGTGTCCTGGGGGGCTGGGGCAGGAATGGGGCACACGGTACCACCCGAGCTGGGACTGCTTGGACCGTAGAAATCACGGTGGCTCTTAGGACGTGTGTGCTGCCCCCATAACGACAGGAACCCTGGCATCCTGCCCTTTGTATCCCCTCCACGAGAAGCCAAGCGGTCACCCCATCGATGAGGAACCGATTCCAGAGGGAATAGCTGTGTGTCTCACATTAGCATTGGTTCTCAGAGTGACGACAGCTCAACCTCTCAACCCCACGAGCTTTCCCTTAATCGACAGGACTAAAGCAGACAGAGGAGCAGGGAATTGAACGTCTCTGCTCAGAGATGCAGCGCTGAGGTTACTGCATCCCCCTCGCTGCCACCAGCGCTGCTCAGCAGCAGCTATCAGGTTTCCAGAGGACAAGCCCATGCCATTAGCAGATGGCTTATCCAGACAGGACAACAAGAAACCAGCTGAGGCCTCTCGTTTGACCTTAACTGGTTTTTCAGAGGGCAGGAAGCCTGGCTGAGGCATCCAAACACCAAACCAGCAGTGCCCTGAGCCCCAGCACATCCCTCACTCCCTATGAACTAAAAAAGGCCATGCTGCCCTTTCAGTGAGATGCCAAAATCCCTGTAAAAAGCTCTCTCACTCCCACTGCTGTACCAGGGAGGGACACAGCCACCCTGGTGTCCAGGGGACCATTGGGTCCCACTGCTCTTGTTGCTGCAACACCCAGGAACTTCTCCTGCCTTGGGAGAAGATGCAGGTAAAAATGTTTTCCCCTGCAGACTCAGCAATGTCCCAGGTTGCTCCAGCAAAGTGCTTCACCTCACCTGCATCAGCAAACAGTAGTTATTCCTCTGAGCCAGTGGACTTTGCTATGAAGCAACTGTTGCAAGAGTTCTACCCCAGAAGGAGCAACATCCATGCAGAGCACACCCTGGGAGAGGAGATGCTGGGGAAAAATATAGCTCGATGGGCTGGAGATGGGACAACAGGGAGCTCCTGATGAGCCAGCATGACTGGGACCAGCCTGGATCCCGACTCAGGTCCTGGCTCACCTCTCAGACATCCCTGTCACTCAGAGTGGAGCAGGAGGATTTGGCAGAG